TCTGATGGGAGCACACTTGGAGATATCCATTTACTTGTGTATTTTGACCTGTGTGTTAGCTATCAAAGATCAGCCAGGATCTTACAGAATGGCCTATTTCTGCTCCTATTTGCTATGCTCTTGTCATTTCCATTTAACACCGTTTTTGAGCAGCAGTGACGTGTATGATTTGCTGATTGAGAAGAATGGTTTCTGAATCAAGAGCACTTGAAAGGTCATAAGGCATCTATAGCTTTAAAAAGCTTGCATCTATATCATCTGGGAATTTTCAATCCTTATTTTCTTCATTAATAAATAGTTGGTAGGACAGAACTTAGAGTCATTGAAAAAGGACAGATTTTGACACTTTCCTTGCACTCATCAGGATGTTTTGCAAGAATCCCAATTCCAGAAGAAAGCCAACATTTTTATTACAAAGAAGGTAAGTGCTGATTCATTAGCAAATGGACTTTGGTCAAGATGTTACTGTGGAGAATGCAGCTTTTAATGTTGATTGACAGTTAACTGCCAGGAAATTGTGTGAGAGGAATTTATGCTGGTAACCAATTTAGGATTGTCTGTTGGATTGACAATGTAGCACACTTAAGTGTACAGGAAGATACAAATTTATTACACATGGCCCTGTTCTTTGCTGACAGCAAGGCATGCACACACTGCGCCTGTTTCAACTAAAGAAGATAGGTGTCAGCCATTCACTGGTTCTTTTTTCAGGGCAATGTGCTGACTGATCACAGTTAACCTGCCTGGTTTAAAATTTAAACAAAGCCTGACCCTTAACTGACAATCGGCATTAATGGGTGCATTCTCCATAGCAACATCTCTAACACTCAGTCCACTGCCAACCAGTCAGCATTTGCCTCACTCACTCGCAATATCAATGCTGGTTTTCCTCTTTAATTGGTATTCTTGCACTCATCAAAACATTTTGCAAGATGACAACAAGCTTTGACCGAATGTGCCTTTTTTCAACAATACTCTGGTTCGACAAGAGTGATAATTTGCTGATACTCGTTATAATGAGTCCTTGTCTCTGATTCAATCTCATTGTTGCTTGTGATGGTCTGTCATGGTACCCACGTGCTTGACTGCAAACATGATCACGTCATTATTTAATGTCTCCACCATTCCTTTGGTTTCATTGCCAATACCACAACTGATAGATTGTAAGGATTGTCCCTGACCACCCTCTTTTATTTCTCGGATCATTGTGAATGTTTTTGTGTTGACTTGATAACCCTTGCACATTTCTTTTCATGTTTCTTCCTTCTTGTATCTCTTGTCAACATTCCCAGTGAGCTGTGGGGTTGAGTTGCACGGTAACCTGAATAGACCACGTAGCTCTTTATACTCTTACAGGATCACGCACTGAGGAAAAAGTTGTTTACAACTACAGGACCTCGGGCTTTTACTATCAGTTTTGTCACAATCACTGTTTATTGGGGTCTGTGCTGTTTCACTTTTTTTTTCTGTGCTTCACCTTTTTTAGTTTCATGTTGGTCCTTTTGCCTCTTTAATTATCCAGAGCTGTTTTATTTTTGTGTTAAGTAGAACTCTTGCCTCTTTGGGGTATAGACAGGTTTGGTAAAACATTAAATCCTTTATTGAATGTTTTGCATTAATCTCCTGTCTTCGTATCTGTGAGCAGATTTGCACAGTTCATTGTGGATAGTGTCTACATCTTCCCATTGAAGTTGCCCTTTCCTATATCTAGAATCTTAGCTGTTTCACCATTTCTCCCTTTCAAACATAGTGTGCTGAATCATATTTTGGATACTATTAGGTAAATATTCACGCAGTACTGACCTGTTCACTCATTCATAAATCTAATATATGAACAAGGAGAAACAGCAGGTTATTTGCTCCTTCAAGCCTGCTCTATCATTCAATAAGGCACCATTCACTTGGCTGGATGAGTGTAGCTCCAACAACACTCAAGAAGCTTGACAGAATCAAGGACAAAGCAGTCTGCTTGATTAGCACCACATCCATTCCCTCTACCAATATTCAGTAGCAGCAGTGTGTACTATGTACTGCCAAAATTCACCAGAGATCTTCAGGTGGCACCTCCCAAATCCACAATCACTTCCACCCTGTATGACAATGGCAGTCAGTTGCATGGGAACACCACCACCTGCAAGTTTCCCTTCCAGCTACTAACCAGCCTGACTTGCTGTTCCTTCACTGTTGCTGGGTCAAAACCCTGGAATTCCCTCCCTAATGGCATTATGGGTCAATTCACAGCAGGAGGACTGCAGCACTTTGAGAAGGCAGCTCACCCCCACCTTCTCAAGGGGCAACTAGGGATGGGCAATAAATGCTGGACCAGCCAGTGACAAGCATATCCCATGAATTAATAATAAAATAAAGAGATCATGGTTGATTCTGATTTTAACTTCAATTCTACATTCCTGCGCATCCCTGATAATCTTTCATCCCTTTGGTCATCAAGAATCTATCTATGTCTGCCTTAAAAATATTTAAAGATTTTGTATCTGCTGCTTTTGAGCAACGTAATTTCAAAGAATCTTAACTCAGAGAAAAAAAATATAGAATTCTCCTTTGTTGCAAAAACTAACCTGGCCAAATTTTTTTTTAAAAAGCCTCATTTGCTTATCCTGACCTATTTGAAAGTTAAACCTCCCCTTTGTAAGCATTCTGCCTTTGTGACATGCTGGTCTTCTCCTGTACTAACATCCTATCACTTCACAGCTGGTATAGAGTCATACAGCATGGAAACAGACCCTTCAGTCCAATTAGTCTATGCTGACCATGTTCCCAAACTAAACTAGCTCCACCTGCCTGCACTTGGCCCATATCTCTCCAAATGTCTCCTATTCATGTATTTATCCAAATGTCTTTTAAACGTTGTGACTGTACCCACATCCATCACTTTTTTCTGGAGTTCATTCCACATACGAACCACTCTGTGTTTAAAAAAAAAAGTTGCATCTCATGTCTTTTTTTTAAATCTTTCTTCTCTCACATTAAAAATATACCTCCAAGTCTTGAAATCCTCCACTCTAGGGAAAAGACACCTGTCCATTCACCTTATCTGTAGCCCTCATGATCTTATATGGTCACTCCTCAACCTCCTGTGCTCCAGTGAAAAAAGTCCCAACCTCTCCCCATAACTCAATCCTCAAATCCCAGCAATCTCCCAGTAAATCTCTTCTGAATCCTCTCCATCTTAATAACATATAAAATAACAGTAGGGCAACCAGAACTGAACACAGAACTCCATAAAAGACCTCATAAAGGGTCTTGTACACCCTTAACATGATGTACCTGAACCCCTAGATCTCTTTGTATCTGGGGGTTTACACACAATTCCCATCCTGTCTGTTTTTAAACTGTACCTGTTAAGCTTCCACTGAGTAATTCATTCTCGTCTTGTTGTAGAAGCAATTTCACCCTTAATCATGAAGGCTGCACCTCACTCTTGACCAGATCCCTGTTCCTCGCTGTGGATATCCAAATCTGACATACTCAGTTCCAAGTTGACATGTCATACCAATCTCTAATTTATTCCATCTATACTTTATCGACTTCGATTGTACGGAATACTCCGGCCTCTTCCAACTTTGAATTGGTCTCTTCACGCTTTCCCTCTTCTTCCTTACCTTTGATGGTTTGAATTTCCCTTGAAGGGTTTTGCATGAAAATTATTCAATTGGAAATTAATGTTTTACGATGATGGTTAATAGGTTTAAATAAAAAGTGCCACAGTTGATTTGGTGATGGGGAGAAAAACACATTCAGTTGTGTATAAGAGCTCTTCTGGATATAAAAGGAAAATTCAGGGCTCTTGTGGTATAGTGGTAGTGATCCTATCTCTGAGTCAGGGTTCAAGCCCCACCTGCATCAGAGGTGTTTAATAACATTTCTGAACAGGTTGCTTAGAAAGTATCGAAGGAGTTCCCCCTTTTCCATTTGCGATTGTATGTTTATACTATCTTTCCTACCAGAGGAACCTACCCATTGACCACTCACAAATCCAACCTTGTGACAGTCGTCCTGTCCATCCCTCCCACTCAGATGTGGAATCCCTGTTTCCCACGTGACTCCTTCACTGCCACTAGGTCACCATCCTAGATCTGTTTATCCCTAAACCAATTAATTTTCTTAACCAGCTTGCCATGTGAGACCTAGTCAAAACCTTGTCAATTACATCTGTTGCGCTACCCTCGTCTGCACACCTCTAGTCACCTCGTTTAAAAAAATTCAAGTCAAACCTGTTGGAGAACATGTCCCTGACAAAGCCATGCTGACTGTCCTTGGTTAATACATGCCCCTCTAAATAGAGATTAATGCTGTCCCTCAGATTTTTTTTCCAATAGTTTGCTCACCAGTGAAGTTTGGCTCCTCCAGTCTCAAATTATAATATCTTTGGTATTCTTCCTACATGAGATATTGTTTAATCACTCTGGCTTACCCAGCCATTTCCATGAAACTCCTGTCTGGGAGATGGAGAAGAATGTTAAAGGATGTGAGGAGTTCCCAGTGAGGGTGAGGAACTGTACACTCGGAAGTGGCTTATGTTCGAAGGGGATTTTCACGACAAGCTGAATATTTACAATGGAACAGAATGAAGCTTTTATTAAGATGAAAATCAATGAGAACTCAGGAATAGTTCAATATAAATGAATCCTTTTGAATAGGCAGATAGCAACAGCACTGTCAAAGTTATTGATTCATTCACGAATACATAAGTGAACACTCAGAATCCCTACAATGTGGCAGCAAGCTACTTCACCCATCGAGTCCACACCGACCATCCAAAGAGCATTCCACCCACCCCCACCCTATCCCTGTAACTCTGCATTCCCATGGCTAACACCTAATCTACACATTCCTGACACAATTGGCAATTCAGCATGGTCAATCCATGCTAACTTGCACATCTTTGGACTGTGGGAGGAAACCAGAACACCCAGAAGAAACCCACACAGACACAGGGAGAATGTGCAAACTTCACGCAGACAGTCACATGAGGATGGAATTGAACCCAGGTCCTAGTGCTGTGAGGCAGCAATGCTAACCACTGTGCCACCCAAATTCATTCACATACATTCTTATTCACATACATTCTTGTTCACACTCTCTCTCTCACTTGCCTTCATTCACACGCACTGTCATATACCCTAATTTGCATGCACCCTCTCTCACACCATTCTCACTCTCCACACTCAGCTTCTCACACTGGTACGTTTACATCTGCTGACTGACTCTAACATTCCTGAACACCCACACATTGTCTCACGTTCACTCGTCACATTACACAAGGCTCATTAGTTACACTGTGGTGGTACAATCTTAGCCCATCTATTGTTCGATTTACCGAAATCTGCTCAATGGACTTTCACAAGCTCCTTTTTTCTGATGCAATTTTATTTCTTTTCTCTCCAGCTATTTGTTGTAAAACATCACTGACAAATTCCACCAGTTGGACTCTCTCTAACTCAAAGCTATAACGTTGCGGTGAGGGTCATGTGTATCGATGTGAAACTGACAGATTGAAGACCAATGTGTGAGGGATCCAGAAGGAAGGTAAAGTGCTGGGGGGAGTGAAGGAAGTTGAGAGAGATGGAATTGAGAGAATTTGAAAGAGCATGAGGCCAAGGTGAAAAGTCAGGAGCTGAGGGGCAAATGAGAGGGAGGGTGAACAGGAGAGTGGGAAAGAAAAAGCAAGATAAAGTGCAGGAGAAATGGAGAAAGAAGAGAAAGCGAGAGAGTAAAGACAGGAAGAAGTGGGAGGGAGGGGGTAAAGAGAGGGGAAGCAAATGAGGGAGGAACAAGGAAGTAGAGAAGGACAGAAGGCCAGGAAGGAAAAGAGAGAGGAAAAAGATGACATGAAGAGATGGGGAAACTACAGTGAGGATGCAAATGAAGCAAGAAAGAGAAATGAATGAATGGAAAAGTGAGATGCGGGACAGGAGAGGGAAGGGACTGAACGTGGGCAGGTGAGGAAGGGGGCATTGAACACTTGGGTAATCGGACAGGCAGCATAGCCACCCAAGGCAGCAGCAGACCTCAATGGGAAGGTGGCAGAGGATTGAATGGTGAGACGAGGGACTTACTAGTCAATGGGAAATTCAGTTGAGATTGAGAGGTTAGAAGGCACTTACTCATGAACCCTACCATCATGAATGACTGAGTAGGGGAGAGAAACAGAAAACTGAAGAAGATGTGAGAAAGATGGATGGGATGGAAGAGTTGGGTGAATGAAGAGAACTAGCCTTTGTTTCTCCATTAGTTTTCCTCAGTTGTTTTATTTGCACCAATTTGTAGCCTGTCCCTGGTAGTGGCCGAGGTAGTCTTGCCTGTTTTGTCTTGAGCTTTTATTTATAAGCTTGTCTTTTCATGTTGCTCAAAACATTCTGTATCTCCACTGTCTGCATCTGTCACATTACAGTCATCCCTTTGGTCCTTCTGAACTCTGCTCAGGCTCTGCTCCAGGGATCCTTCGTCCAATGGGCTCTCACACAGATCCCCTGTGTAGTCCTGCACTGTGCTGTTCTCGCCCATTGCCACAGTTTCACCTTCCACATCCTCCGCTTGCTGCCGTCCCTTCCTGTTCTTGGGCTGGTTTTGTTTGAGGCAGAGGTAGAAAGCTCCGAACAGAAAGACAGCTGAAAGAATAAGCTCCGAGCCTGCCATGTAGAAGATGAGCTTGTAGTTTTTGAAAGCATCTACCAGGTGCCCTGTAAGAGGGACAGTCTGAATTACAATCCATTCTCTCATACGTCCAGGCCAAACCCAACCTCAAACCCAGATCCAACCATCACAAGACCAGGAACTTTAGGAAGAGTCAGGACATTGGGAGCCAGTGAGATTCCCAGGTTTCCACTGCCCAGGAGCCGGACCTAAAGAATTTTCCTGGGGGCTGAATCCACTTACTGATGGTTCTGGCCCAATCATAGGACAGCCTCTAGTGAGTGAGTTGATGCTGCTGAGGCTGGTGGACAAACATAAGGCCACCTCAGAAATGGAGGCCCCTTGGCACGGTTGTAAAATCATATTTAGGGAAGGACCAAGCTGGCAGGCCCCCTGGATTGGTGGGAAATGTCTCCTGCCAGGGCTGGAGGAGGTTGAGGAGGAGGGGTGCCTTTTGGGGGAGAGAAGCCTTCAGCTCTTTTGCCCCCACCAATCCAGACAGTCACAAGGAGGCTGTTCTATGGAACTAGGGGCCTCCACATGCAGCAGGGATTATACTGGCGCCACCAAAATGCAAAGAATTGCTCTGAAGGGCTCCTCTTTGGTACCTTCCATTTCTAAGTTAGTTTTCCGTGGCCTTACCTCTGTGTCTGGCTGCCCCGGGGCAATGACTCAATTGGAGAAGAGTGGTGTTCAGGATGGGGTATGAGGGAGAGGGGAATTAGGAAATGGAGGTAGGTGTATTGGACAGTGAGGGTAATGGGATGTTTGGGGTGGACTATTGGAGCAGGGGTATATTGGGACTTGGGGTGTGATTATTGGACAGTGAAGATATTGAGGTAGAGTGGGGGGTATTTCAAGAGGAGGTATTGAAGCTGTGACTGCACAGGAGATTGCAAGTGGGGCTACTGGAGCTAGCAATGTTAGCATTTGTGACAGTGTTTGGGGTAGGCATAGGGTTATTGGAGAGTGTGGGTATTGGGATTCTGGTTTTGGACCGGGGGTTTTAGTGTGTTAGTAGAGAGTGAAGGTATTGTGGAGGCATATTGGTGCTGTGGTATTGGATAATGGAACATGTTGAGACTTGGAATATGGGCCTGGGGCTTTTAGAGAGGTTATGGAACCTGGAGCACACGGACATGGCAGGGTATTGAAGTCGTATTGATATTTGGGGTTTTGGAGACTGGTGAGACTCGGGGCACAGGGGAGAGTCAGTAGGATTGAGTCAGGTATTGGACAGTATTAGTGTGTGTGATATTGATGAGTGGGGATATGTAGAATGGGGGATATGGGAGAGCAGGGTATTAGAGAACTGCCCGTCAGTTGGTATCTGACCTGCTGAGGGGGGTCCAATGAGCACTGCAAAGGCCTCAATGAGCAGCAACAAGCCGATGGCACTTGGGAATTTCTGGGAGCCGACGATGTCCATGAGAACCTCGAACTGCAGAGCTCCGACCATCCCATAGGTCACCCCGAAGAAAACGCAGAAAGCCACCAGCCCGGTGTAGGTGGCAGCTCTGGCACTCAGCACATCGGTCAGTCCATTACACAACATGGAGAAACTGAAAAAATAAGCAACTCGAGGCCGCACCAAATCCAGTCCAGCCACGACACCACTCAATGGCCGAGCAAAGATGTCAATGAAGCCAATGATAGACAGCAGGAAGGCAGCTTCAGTGTCTGGGACACCTATGTCTTTGGCATAGTTAACAATCATGATTGGAGGTACAAAGAGGCCTAGAACCAGGATGAACTTGGAGATGGTGTAGATGACAAAGCTTCGATTCTGGAATACACTGAAATCTAGGAGCTTCCAGCTTTTTTTGTTTGTTCCTGACTTCCTGCCACCGTCCTTGGTGCTGTTTCTGGTCACTGCCTGTTGACAATTCTCCAGCTCCAAGCTGGTCGTGGGGAGCATCTCCTTGGCCTCAGACTTGTTTTTGCTGTTCTGCGTCAGACTCTCGAGAGGCCTCATCACAGCTCCACATGTGCAGCAGTTGAGTAACAACCCCCCCATAATGAGGAAGCCCCCTCTCCAGCCATAATAATCCAGCAGGACCTGGCCGAATGGGGACAAGGCACTGAGGAACACTGGGCTCCCAGCTGCTGCTAGCCCATTAGCTAATGGCCTCTTTTTATCGAAATACCTGCCCAGCATTATGAGTGATGGCTGGAAATTCAGAGCGAGTCCAAGACCTGCAGGAGACAGAGATCGTTTATCATCTGAAATATCTGTTCAAAGGATTGATTCTCCAATTTCTTATCAGAAAATGTAAGGTCAAAGTTGAACTTTGGCAGGATGAGCTGAAATATTCTAGAATCATAAAATCCCTACAGTGTTTGATCAGGCCACTTGAGTCTACATCAACTCTCCAAAGAGCAGACCATTCAGACTCCCCCACCCCCCAAATCCTTGGGATCCTGCCATTCCCCCTAACCTACACATCTTTGGACTGTGGGAGGAAACCAGGGCACCCAGAGGAAACCCACACAGACACAGGGAGAACATGCAAACTCCAGTCACCTGAGAGTGGAATTGAACCCATGGTCCTGGAACTATGAGGCAGCAGTGCTAACCACTGAGCCACCATGCCACCTCTATCCTGGCTAGACATCTGAAGATTTTGCCCATCGTTAGTTGGGACATTATCATTTCTCTCGGTTTGCGCAAGCAACCTTCCTAACTGTACAAATATGCAAAAGACATTCTGGATAATCAAACTATTCAGTGCAAATAAAGTATTTTAATTATGAAAATGTCTTTTGAGAGTTGGAATCCGCAAAGAGAAATGTAAATTTAAATGTGATTTGATTGAGGTATTTAAGGGCTAGGGCAGCATTTATTGGCCATCCATAATTGCCCCAGAGGGCATTAAGAGTCAACCACATTTCCATAGGTCTGGAGTCACATGTAGTCCAGACCAGGCAACAATGGCAGATTTCCTTCCTTCAAGGACAGTAGAATAGAATAGAATCCCTACAGAGTGGAAACAGGCCCTTCAGCCCAACAAGTCCACACCGACCCTCAGAACACCCACTCTAACCCATCCCCCTAACCTACACATCCCTGAACACTACGGACAATTTAGTATGGCCAATCCACCTAGCTTGCACATCTTTGGATAGAGAACCCAGTGGGTTTTTCGGACAGTGGTTTTGTGGTCATCATTAGTCTCTTAATTCCAGATTTTTATTGAAGTCAAATTCTGCCATCTGCCATGGCAGATTCAAACCTGGGTCTCCAGAACATTACCTGAGTCTCCGGATTAATGGCTTAGAGATAATACCACTTGGCCGTCACCACTCCTTGGTTCAAAGTATTATCCAGAGGCTGTTGACTATTAAGTAGACTGGGGATGAACAATGGTTACAAAATGAAGTTCTCTTAGACCAAACCTAGACTGGCTCTGAGTTTCCCAGAGAGCAGTGGGTGACTGGGATCTGACACTTACCCACAAGGCAGCAGACCCCTGAATTTCTCAAATGGACATTTTTCAATCAGGGATGGACCCTGTCTTTTACATAAAGGTGGGTACTTTAAGGAATTTGGGGTTGATGATCTTCTGGGCTGCTGTCTTTCACCCTGACTGGCCAAAAACATAATCTGACACATTGGCCAGCTGTTTATCTCTCTCCTGGGAGATGAAATGTCTTCAGGTGGAGCGGACACACTGTGATGTCCAAATTTGTATGGGACAGTCTGGATGATACATAATATGATACAGTCATACAGCATGGAAACAGACACCTTGGTGCAACCAGTCCATGCCGACCATAATCCCAAACTAAACTGGTTCCACCTGCCTGCGCTTGGCCCATATCCCTCCAAACCTTTCTTATTCAAAAGTCTTTTAAACGTTGTAACTGTACTTGCATCTACCACTTCTTCTGGCAGTTCATTGAACAAGGGACTCTCTGGCCGTCCATCATTACTTGTGAATTCAGCCACACAATGATGCCAGGGTTCGGAGGAAGAGAGAGACTGGAGGAGAGACAGAGTAGGACTGGAAGAAAGAGGGGAAGAGACGATGGGACAGGATGAGGACAATAAAATTTGGGAAGAGAGATAAAGATTAAAGCAAAAATCTGCATCTATAAAATGCCTTTAATAGAGTAAATGTCCTGATATTGGGAAGAAATTGGAGAGGCCAAGGATTGATTCTCAGGAGATACCAAGAGCTTTGTAAGTGGCTCTTGATCCCAATTGGATAAGAATAGAACCAGTTCCCTTCCCCCAAAACCATCCCCCTCCAAAAGGCAGGTCAGAGAGATTGAGGAGGGGTCTACCTGAGTCACAGTCACTGAGGATATCATCCCATCCTAGTCATTTCAGTGGAGCAGGGATTTCAAATGTGGAGCTGTGGATTAAGGAGGTGACAATGCACTGAAGGAGTTTGGAGAGAAGTGTGGGACGTTACTGATGGGTTTGTAGTTTGTGAGGATATGGAGACGAAGGAAAGATGAGCTAACGATAGGTTTGAAAGGGAGAATGGTGTTTGCAGAGGAGACCATATTCCAAACTCTGAACTGTATTCCCAGGAGCATTGATAAGCTCCTGGTTTATTCTGGGAGACACATGGTGACATCCATATGTCCAGCTCCATGGATTTAATGAAGCTGCAGAATTGCTTCTCCCCTGAATGTTTGGCAGAATTGAGGGCAAGGATGATTTAATCACTTTGATTAATCTATTAATAGAATAAACACTTCAGGGAGCTGATAATAGTTAACAAGGCCATTCTGCTGAGTTTACTGCAATAACGTACCTGTAACCACCCCAGCAGTCAGGTACAGCTGCGTGATATTTACGGAGAAAGATGCCAGGATCATTCCAGAGGAGGCCAGTAAACCTCCGACCAACATGACAGGACGGCAGCTGAAGCGATTCACCACGATGCTGCACAAGGGGCCTGTGTCAGAGAGAAGACAACTCGTGACACTCGCTGCCTTCTCTTCCAGTAACTGAACCTCATTCGCAACAGAAACAGCCGGCCTGAGCCCTGACTCACCATCACATGGAAAAGCAAGACCCAAATATAAACTCTTCAATGACAAATATCCCCTCCCAGTGTTCACTCTATTGAAGTTCTTTTTAATTGAAGCACTTCAATTAAATCCTCCCTTAACCTCCTCTGTTCTAAAGAGAATAATTCCAGGGTCTCACCATCCCACAACATCCCACTCCAATAAATCTCCTCTTGCCCTTCTTTGACATCTGTCCCTATAGAGTGAGCCGTGGAAATGTCTCACTGTCTCAGGCTGCTGCTGAACCATTTTGACAGAATGGTGTGTCTCCATTGACCCTTACCCTGGGGTCTCCCGGTTACTCTCCCCTTGCCAACAGCTGTATTTAACTCCAGGATCACTGCCTCAGGAGAAGTGGACAGGGCTTGTGGACACAGAGCAAGGATGCAGACTCCTGCAGTCCATCAGCTCCAGCAGGGACTGCCCCATCATTGAGGCTGGTCATCAGCTCCAAACCCTCCGCTAGAGCTGTGTTTGCCCCCATTGCCCCAAACACAATTATCAACACATCACCCCTCCACTGCCAACCCCCTTCCAGCCCCTCCACCCTCCTCCTCCTCCACTCCCCTTGAGCCTTTGTTTCTCTGAAGCAGTTGGACTCAGCAACCCGCTGCCTCTCAGCCACTGTTTTTAAATCCCACTTCCGGATTCGAGGATCAAGCTGTGGATTGATCCAGGATCGGACCGTTACCTGTGCCGTACAGCATGGCCAGGATAATGGAGGAAATCCAAGCCGTATCACTGTAGCCGATGTGGAAATCGTGCATCAGCTCCTTGAAGTAAACACTGACGGCTTTCGGGAAGGCGTAGGAGAATCCGGTGATCATGAAGCAACCAATCAGCACCATCCAGCCCCAGCCCCCATCAGGGGCTTCTTTGGGGGGACAACCTCCTGGCTTCGAATGACCCATCAGGAAATCCCGATTCTGAGGAATAAAACAGTAACAGCATGAGGGAGGAGAGAGACAGTGACACGATCAGAGCCCCCACAACCCACCCTGATCTACCCTCACCCCAATCAACCCCGACCAGACCTACCCAGACCTCCAGAGACACCCCAGACCCACCCTAACAACCCACACTGACCAAAACTGACCCACGTGGACACATCCTGACCTACACAGACACACCCTGACCGACACGGACACACCCTGACCCACACTGACACACCCTGACCCACATGGACACACCCTGACCCACATTGACACATCCTGACCCACACGGACACA